AACATGCCCTATCTAGTCGCTCCTTGCGGAGGTTAGTCGTCGCTTATCTACCCGGTGTTCATCTCCACACAGTGCTTAATGATGGCTTAGTGGTCTCTAATGGTATGTGGGGTTTCGGAGATATAGTGACGCTACGCGCGTAAGGGGAGATATAAGACCACTCACTACCCTCAGCCGTACTGTAAAAGTTGGAGCACGGTATCAATCAGATAATCCTTTCCAGTGAAGAATTCATTGTTCTTCGTCTTTCGTTCTTCTCTTTGCTCTCTTCGACCAAGTAAATCTCAGTATGGCTTCCATGGATACAGTGCTAGCCGGGTACGAATCCCGGCAAGCCGTGCTTGAAGCAAGCAACAACCCTTTTGCCCAAGGAGTTGCCTGGGTCGAGGGCGACCTCGTTCCGCTATCGGAGGCACGGATTCCACTACTCGACCAGGGTTTCCTTCACAGTGATCTCACATATGACGTTCCAGCCGTCTGGGATGGACGATTTTTTCGCCTTGACGACCATATCGATCGATTGGACGCAAGCTGCAAGAAGTTACGGCTTCAGCTCCCTTTGCCAAAGTCCGAACTCAAACAGACATTGGTGGAGATGGTGGCTAAATCCGGGATTCGGGATGCCTATGTGGAGATAATCGTTACCCGTGGCCTTAAATTCGTCCGCCAGGCCAAACCGACAGAGATTGTTAATAGGATATATATGTTCATACAGCCTTACGTCTGGGCTATGCCGCCTGATATGCAGCGGACTGGTGGAAAGGCTGTTATTGCAAGAACTGTCCGCCGTGTCCCTCCCGGTTCGATGGATCCAACCATCAAAAACCTTCAATGGGGAGACTTAGTGCGTGGGCTGTTAGAGGCTGCTGACCGAGGAGCCACCTATCCTTTCCTGACAGACGGAGACACAAATCTCACCGAGGGTCCCGGGTATAACATCGTTATCATCAAAGATGGTGCCTTATATACCCCCGATCGGGGTGTGTTAGAGGGCGTCACTCGCAAGACCGTCCTGGAGATTGCGGAAAAGAACGGCATACCTGTCCATGTCCAAGTGGTCCCAGTTGAGCTGGCCTTTCAATCAGATGAGATATTTGTTTGCACCACGGCCGGAGGCATTATGCCGATTACATCCATTGACGGCCAGCCTGTAAATGAGGGCCAGGTTGGACCAATCACTAGGCTTATTTGGGATGCATATTGGGACCTGCACTACGATCCTTCCCACAGCTTCGCGATCAATTATGGGGATAGTTAGGAAAGTGTATACAGCTCTTCTAATGCCATCCATGTATCAAGGGTACTTTTTTTTTTGTTTCACCTTCCGCACGTTAGGCGAAACAGCATCCATGCAATTTCTAAACCCGCTACAGAGCTTCCAAAAGGGTTCTCTTCGAAGACTAGCAGCTTAGATACTAATTGGCTAGAAGCATATTAGTCGACATCCAGTTTGAACGTATTTGTATTTAGGAGGTTCCTTCCTTCATTTCCCCCCCCCCTTTTCTTTGTTCTTATTTTAAAATAAAGTAAAATAAAGACTATAGATAATTGGCCTACACTACATATGTAATCCATTATATTGTAAATTTTGTCTTGAGGCCTCTAAAATCTACGCACTGTAGCCCGTAGTGCTAGATACTATAACGCCGTTTATTTAAGGGTAATAAGTCAACGGCAAGTACAGAGTTCTAGACTATATATACAGAATATCGGTATTATACTTACATTGTTCTACAAGTGGGTGTGCACTTATATTTCACTAGAAGATTCAGTTTTTTCATAATCCCTATAACGTGATATTCTACCATCAATATTCCAAGAGATAGCAATACTGTATAATACTAGGCGGTAATTAGATTCTGGACGCCCGTTGTTCCGGAGTGGCCGCTATAGGCCCCCATACTGGTCTCGTGTCCCGTGAACTCTGAAATTCTGTGGGGTTCGCGGGTCCCGCGGGTCCCGCGGGTCATCGAGTTTGTGCCGAAGTCTAAAGTAATACTTGGGGTTGGTTCACACTTTCTATTCTATGTTGTCTCCCTTTTGGCCTTTGGCCTCTTATTGAAAAAGTTATTCGGATAGGTGTTTTTCCTTGTAGTGTTAACCACGACGATATTGAAATCTGCTTCATATTATGCCAAGTATATCACTTAATACGCACCAACTTCACTCAGTCGAGTAACCGGGTTGGCCTCAAGCGATTGTGAATTAGATTAGATTGCAGGACAACTCACCCAAAAAAAAAAAAAAAAAAAAAGCAAAGGAAAGAAAGTATGATGCTACGCCTAGTGCACAATACCGCCCAATCGCTGTGCAACGTAAAGCTGCTATTGGTACACTGCTATCGTGATCCAAGTACACCTTGTGGGCCGGTGTTACATGGCTTGGGATACCGTTATATCTGGGGAAAGGATATACCACGGACCCACCGACATATAGTGGCCTGCTATTCATAGGTGAAAGGTTATCAGCAGCTCCACCTTCGAGGTATCCACATGTGTCCTGCGGGGTATCATTTTAGTTTCTACTATATTGCGGAAATGGCTCAGAGTGCGGCATAGCTGGTTTTAGGAATGAAAAGACAGCGTTGCGGGTGAAGGGAAATGTGAGATTAACTCAGTGAAATCTCTGCAGAACGAAAGTTATAACTACCTAGACAAACGGGGGTTTACCCCATATTTGCATGGTTTAGTCAAATTGTACCGCAACATCCCAAGTCAACGACGGCTCTTCCCAGATGTATTTTATGGAGATTAGATACCGCGCAGTCCCTCTTGGATATACACCAGTCAAATTCTAAACATTGGGTCTTCCTTTCTCCCTTGAGTGCCAATTGAACTTCCGAGGATACTTGTCCCGCCTCGAGCCCGAATACGTACAGCCAGACTTGTCACTAGACAGTAAAAGAACCGCAGCTCCCTGCGCACCATCTTCCCCCACACTTCTCTCGAGCGCTTCGATATGGAAACGCCATAGCATGGGTCGACAAGATAGGACGGCTAGATAAACATTCTTCTCCAATCTTCCCGCCTAGAACCCGCTTAAGCTCTTGCTTATCATCAACTATCTCGATGGTGATCCCTAATTGTAGTTCTTGAGATCCTACATCATCGATCCCACTCTTGAGAACCCTTTCGTTTACCTATCTATGCGTTGGTCAGAGAGCAGGATAGTGCTGCCTCTCTGGATAGATATATATATAAAGCCTTGTACATCTCTTCACGAAGTATAAATGTTAGCATCTCATCGACGGCGCTTAATCTCCATATCTCGATAATTGCATCTCCACGGCAACGAGCAACATGTCGCAATCTCTTCAAGGCAAGGTGGCAATAGTGACCGGTGGCTCGCGCGGTAGGTGATCTTGATTCCATTTCATGGTACGAAGCACGCACTCGTTCTCCGGTATTCATCCTTCTCTAGGTATCGGGGCCGGCATTGTCAAAGAACTTGCCAAACGTGGAGCCACTGTGGCATTCACGTACCTCTCTTCTGCTAAAGCACAGGCACTGCTTAGTGAGCTTCAAAAGTCGAATAACAGGGCAATTGCCATTCAGGCCGACTGTGCTGATGCAACGGCCTCGGCGAAAAAGGTCGTGAAAGAGGTAGTAGCTGCATTCGGCAAAATTGATATCATCGTCAATAATGCCGGCAGTGGAGAACATCACACCTTGCTCGATCTGACCGAGAAAGACTTTGATCAGATCTTCCATATCAATCTTCTCTTTCCTCTATTGCTCATCCAGGAGAGTGTCCCATACCTCCAGCAGAAGGCCAGAATTGTGAATGTTGGGTCGATTACAGGACGAATCGGTAAGCATGGCGAATGGCACCGTGATCTTGGATGGTTCTGACATCTATAAATGCAGCCTATCCATCGGCCATCCTATATGCAGCATCTAAAGCAGGGCTGGACAGCGTGACAAAGTCATTGGCCGTTAGTTTAGGTGAGCTTTCTTTTATTTTTCTTTTCTGTTTTTATAACCTTATTAATTTGGCTAATGCTCAAACGAAATACTACAGGGCGAAAATTCGAAGCAACGGTTAACACGATAAACCCGGGCCCTGTGGCCACTGAGATGTAAGCGTTCCCCTCCCTTGCTTTCTCTTCCTTTCCGATCCTTTCTGTACTCCAGTCCTGACAGTTCATATTTCCTTGCAGGTGGGAGCAAACACCAGGAAAAACTGAAATCCAAGAAAGGGTGTATCACCGTACGGCGGCAGGTGATCGGATTGCTTCGGTGGAGGACATTGCCCCCATTGTTGCTTTTCTGTGTGAGGAACAATCGCGATGGGTGACTGGGAATGTCACTTGTGCTAATGGTGGGCTGCTTATGATTTGAGAAAAAAAAGACAGCTCCATAGGATGGCGGTGTTTCCCAATGATTCGTGGCATCTAAATATACATATCCTGTATCCCAATATGCAAGGGGTTAAGTTTACTTACATCTTGAACAACCAACTAGTATTGTAAATTCGCACCACGAGCATAGTAAACAGGCTTCTTCTATGATCTTCGATATGTTTCGGTCCAGTAGGTGACCAACTAATATTGAAAACGAGTCACGTAACGGAGACTTTTCGCTGACCACATGGGATGGATGCGCTGGAGAAACTTCATCTGCGTTTTATTTAGTCTCAGGTATTGCCTCGAGAATGAGTAAAAAAGGAACTTTAGGGCCAGTCTTTTATTATTATTATTATTATTATTATTATTATTTTCTTAAGAAAAAAA